TATAATCGGGATCCTATTAATTAGGGTACTATATTAGGGTCCCCTATTTTCGGAAACCCCCATCTTCAAGAATTAGAACGGGTTTCTTTGAAGGGTTCGTGCTATTAACAGCTGATTTGGGTTTAGGGTTTAGGGTAGCAGATATTTGTATACGGACTATGCCGGGGTTGTCTTGCTTATTGCTAGCCTCTTTAAGGCTTTCCAGTAGAGCCTAGCGCCCCTTAATCATGAAGCCAGGGTTCAACGTGTGCTTCAAGGTATCTGATTGAAATCGCAAGAGTAAGCCCTTGCTGGTTCAGCACATACTCGTCAATGTACGGGGTCGAAGGCCGGGCTCTTTGAGCTTGCACCTGGCACAGAAGCCGCAGGTGGCCTCTGCGTGGCTTTCTGGGGTCTGGTGTGTAGGGCATCCTTGGTGCCCTGACAACTCTAGTGGTAAGTTGTCTGCAGCACAAGGTTTGGAACATCCACATGGGGCCCAAGAGAAGCGAGGTGAACAAAAAGAAATCCCAAGCCTTTGGAGCCCAAGCTTAGGGCTTAAGGTTTAGGGTTTAAGGGAGTAGGGTTTAGGATTTAAGGTTTAGGGGATAAAGGTTTAGGGTTTAGGGCCAAGCAGCCACTTCGAACCCCTAAACCCTAAACCCTAAACCCTAAACCCCTAAACCTTCGAAACTCCCGTAAGCTTGCCGGGAGGCTCGGTCGAAGACCTTTTTGCTTCCGTGCGAACACGGACAGCAGCGGTTTTCGTGGTGGAGGGCGAGGGGCCGGCATCTCGGGTATCTTGCGTGTTTCGGTTTAGGGCTTAGGGCTTAGGGCTTAGGGTTTAGGGTTTAGGGTTTAGGGTTGAGCTATGGGGGTAGGTAAAGTCTGTTCGTGAAGCTTGATCGGGGGGCAAGGAGCATATGTAGCACAATCCCAGAACCACCAAGCTCGAAGGCATCATGAGGGTTTTGCAGGGGCTTTTCAGGGGCGTCTTATGAGGGCAATTGAAAGCCCTTAGTTGTTCTAGTTCGGATCGGGCTTTGAAAATGGAGCTTCTTCTTTCGACGTTACAGCCGGAGAAAGAGGTGCCGCTGAGGTTCTGAAGGTGTGTTGGGCTTTGGGGTTCAGTCTCCTGGGTTTAGAGTTTTAGAGTGTTTCGGGTTTTGGTAATTGAACTTTAATTAAGCTCTATAACTATAACCTGGACCCTGAACACAATAAGACTCTATAAACACCAAAGGATCCCTGAACCCCCAAAGCATGTAGCACAAACCTCAAACTAAGCATCCTCATAAACTCCAAAGTGTCACGAGTCACCCTTCACCCCCCCTAAACCCTAAACCCTAAACCCTAAACCCCCCCGACTTTAAAATCTAAGGGCGCATAGACAGCCTGGTCCAACAAGCCTCGTCCTTATCATCTTGATTGTTAGTATGTTTGTCATGCTCATGATAGTGATAGTACGAGTATACTGATGCAACCATAATCACACAGATTTTGGGTTGGTGGTTCCTCAGTCTTCTTCGTGGTTATCACGATTGATATAGTTAGTTCCATTATTGTTATACTGCTCATTATTACTGTTCAGCTTTTGTGTTAGTACGGTTGGTTTCTTGATCAAGAGCTCGTCGTTTGAGGTCGGCTCCGGCTCTGGAAGATCTTCAGCCGAAGGCTGACGGAGATCAGAAGTTGAGTGGCTTATGGGGTCTTGGTTTAGGGTTTAGGGTTTAGGGTTTTCTTGCAAGGGTTTTCTGCTTCAGGGTTTTAGGGCGTCATGGGCGTTGACAGGTTTGGGGGGCATATAGGCTTGGCAGCGAAGTCTAGATCCTTTGAACAGCGTGTCTGTGGGAACCTTCCTTGACACATCGGAGTTTCGGGTTTTCATGTTTAGAGTTCAGGGTTTACGATATCCCTGATAACTTCCTCTCGCCAGCTCTCCTTTAGCAGGTCTCGAGATTTTTATTCCGCACCGCATCGTTCCAGAACCCTTCGTGCGAAGGTGCCTCAATTGTGGATGAAGTCCCGAGGCGAAACACGCGTAAACTCTCAACCCAATAAATGCCTGCAAACTCTAAACCCCTTTGTTTTCAGCTAGACAATCCCAACGAGGCAATCTGAGGCTCTGGAGCCGTGAAACCCCCCAAGCTCACACTACTGCCTGAAATCCTCCATTCCCCACCCTCCCTCCCTAAACCCAAAACCCAAAACCGTTTGGAGCGTTAGAGTCTGCTTACAGGACGAAGGGACTGAGTAAGTAGAACGGAACCCCCCTTAATGAAAGACCCTTTCGAGGAGCCCTTTTCAGAAGCCTTGTCTTCCCTAATAATCCAGATCCCTTTAACGGAGAGCTGTGATCCAGGACCTGGTCTTCGTCGGAAGTGCCTTTCTCTGTGGCATCTCGGGCAAGAGCAAGAGTGTTGAGGGTTTATAGGGCTTAGGACTTAGGGCTTATAGGGGCTTCCCTAAACCCTAAACCCTAAACCCTAAACCCTAAACCGGGGGCTTGTAGGGTTTAGGGCTACGGTTTAGGGTTCCGCGTTTCAAATCTCTGAGCCCTACGCACCCGAAGCCCGAAGCTGCAAACCCGAAGCCCCAAACGCAAATATCGCGAATAGGGTTTTTCTGAAAGGTTCCGGGTTTCGGGGATTTAGCAAGACCCTAAGCCCTAAACCCTAGACTTGGCGGGCGAAAAGCCTGGAAACTAGCTTCGGTTGCGACCGAAGCAGAGCCACGAACTTTTTACAGTCCCTTAATTGGGGTTATAAGTTTTGTTACCCCAATTGTAACCCTACTTACTAAGTCCCATGATCCTTTAAGTAAACCCTAACTCCCCAACCCTAAATCCCTGAACCGACAGCCCATTGCACCGATTAAAAAAAAGAGCCCAGACCTCCCTTGGCCCGAAATCTTTGGAACATTTTGTCCCCAGTCCCCCGCCGCCTTGGATCCTGAAACCTCCGAACAGCCTTTCTCCGCTGTTGGCTTAGGGTTTCGGGGTGTTGGGGTTTAGGGTTACTGGGATTAGGGTTTGAAGGTTCAGAGCTGAGGGTTTTGGGGTTTTGGGGTTTAGGGTTGCTGAGATTAGGGTTTGACGGTTCAGGGCTTAGGGTTCCTATACAGATATTCAGGCCCCAAATCTGTAGCATGATAAGATCATGAGGGCTTAGCGACAGCAGCCCAACATTCAACGGCCCAAAAAACTTCCTATCAATCGCTTCAAAAAACCCCTGACAAATTCTCCAAAGCCCTCAACCCCGAAGCCTAAACCCAAAGCTAAGCCCAAAGCCCCACACCCGAAACCCTCAACCCCGAAGCCTAAACGCCCAAAGCCCCACACCCTAAACAACCGCCTGGGGCTTCCGGCAGCTTCGCTTTGCAGCAAGGGGAGAGATCCCTGGCGACCTGCGCGCATCTCTTCGAGGGGAGGTGGCCGGCGGTGAGGCCGCGCTTTGCGCCTAGGGTTTGGGATTTGGGATTTTGGGGGTTCATGGTCCATGTTTAGGGTTGTTTAGGGTTTAGGGTTGTTTAAGGTTCCGGGCTTAGGGTTTAGGGTTTAGGGTTTAGGGTTTCAGGGTTTAAGAATTAATTAAGGATTGTGGATTCGGACTGTTGGGGTTTCTGGTTCGGGGTTCAGGGTTTTGGATTTGGGCGTTGGGCTTTCATTTCAGAGCTTTCGGGTTGACCCTGAGATGCAAACCCTTTAAGCTTGGACCCATGGCTACTGCACTGTCGCCCTGAAGACACTGTAGACTTTAAGCGGGACGCAGGATTCTACCAGTCGACATTATACCTTAAGAACCCCAAACCCACTTTTTGTAGGTTCTTATTATAAACCCTAATATGGGATTTATAGGGACCCTACAAAAAAGTAGGTTTTGGGTTCTTAAGGTAGAACTGAACATCATGCTCACAGCGCCGAGATGCCGGACATGTGCTACCGTAGGGGGTACGTGTCAGAGCAATGACAGACGTAACGACAGCAGAAGCACAACCCTTGGCATCAAAATAGCCCAAAAGCCTTGTATAATAGGGTCTTTGGACCCAAAAGCCTTCAAATATGAGTCCTTTGAGGGTAAGGCCAAGTGCAAGGCGGTCCTTCTTCTGCGTACAGGGAAATCATGCTTAAAGCAAAAGCGTCTAGAATAGCTCCCTAACCCTAAACCTGAACTCAAACCCGACCTTAAACCCTCATTCCAATCAGGGAGAGGGCTTTGAAAAAGACAGATGATTGTCATTGTAGATACAGACGAAGACAAGTAGCTGCTCCAAACTGTGGCCGTGAAGCCTAAACAAAGAATTCAATATCATTTTCGCCCAGCGTCGCCTGCCGCGCCATGCGCGGCTTCTTCGGGCTGCTGGGCCTTTGCGTGCTTGAGCCTGCGCTGAGCGCAGGTGAGTTGAGGGTCGATATGATTCAACCTTAAGGGCCCATATCATTCATCGTAGTGTGTGTGCATGTGTGATTATTCTGTATGTTATTACACACAAGCGAGCAGTGTTTGCGGAGAACGCAAATGTGCCGTATCTGCATAAAATGCAATCTTCTACTTGGTCTTATATGCATCCTATCGACTAGGTAGATGGTCCCTCGCCGTACACCCTATAAGCCATAGAGTTCCAGGCAAGGGAGCATGGCAGTCACCGAAGCGCGCCGACCGCCCCGAGTCCCAAAGCATCACAGTTGAAAGGAACACGGGAGCAATATTTCCTTTCTAAGAGGAACCTCTGAGGTTTTTTTCTGGAAACATAGTGCTTGTACTAAATTGTTCCCAAGGTCATTGTAAGGGAGTGGGAGTTGGCCAAGAGTGGGAGCCGGGCTACGGGTATATATATATATATATATTTTTTTTTGGGGGGGGGGGGGGCAGGCATGCTGAACAGCATTGGAACCTACTCCCTGATAGGGACATTACCTTCGTGTTCCTGCGCTCAGATTGTGGTTCGCGTGGCTCCCGTTCGCAGAGCGGGCTACCCTTCAGTGCTGGAAAATGCCTGAGATCATAATAGCTTAAGGTTTATTTGGGGGTTTCCGAAAATAGGGGGTACCTTATTTTGGGGAAGGATCCTACTATTTGGGGTACTATATTAGGGTCCCCTATTTTTGGGAACCCCCATATTTCGACATTGAGGAGGACTGGGCTCATCAAGCCCAAGTCAAGAGCTGTGCAGCTCTAGGTGGAGCTTTTGGCGAACTTGTCTGGAACATTTTTTCAGACTTTTCCTTACTTGGAGGATCATGGGACTTAGTAAGTAAGGCTATAAGTCCCTTAATTNNGGTTATAAGTATAGTTACCCTAACTATAACCCTATTTACTAAGTCCCATGATCCTGTAAGTAGTGGCCCCATTACGATGCGACCCAGAGCTTTTCCCACTGCTTGAGCTCTAGAGTTCTAGATTTCAGATCTGGATGGGGCTCAGGGAGCTAGGTGGGGTTTTGGGCAAACCCCTTAGCAGATACATACCAAAAATATACGGGCTTGGGAGGGTATGACTAACATCTGAGCCCTCAACCCCCACGCCCTAAACCCTAAACCCCGAAACTACAGACCCCAAACCCCGAAATTCTGAAATCCTACCTGTAAACTACAGAGGTGCATTCTGAAGAATCACTCTTGGATTCACGTCGTAAGAACAGACGGGGAAGACACTGGGTGATCAGCCCCAAGAATCCGGACCTGAAGCGAGCATTTAAAAGTGTAACCCTGAAGCCCCGAAACCTTAAACTCCCAAACCCCACACCCGAAATGCTACGTCTGGGAAGGCATCGACAACTCCTGCATAGAGCCGGCGCCTGACTTCGGACTCCGCGTGCAGGCGGGGATCAGTTCTTTGAGGGGGGGGGGGGGGGGGCCATGTCCTGAGGCCCAAGCCCCCCAAGCACCAGAAAACCCAAAGTCAAAAGCCACAACGCATACTA